GAGGAAGAAGAGATCGACTTGTATTCAAATTTGTATTTGTCGATGTATCTATTATTAGAGCTGGATGTGCACTGCTGCCTTTTTCTTCGAGCTGGAGGTGACGAATATGATTTGGCGTGGGAACGGAGGTTAGTATTGGGTAAAGTTGAAAAAAAAGTCAACGGATAGAACCCGGTCCGGATCAGTTTTGGTATATTTATACATGCAGATAGGTGGACAGAAAAAAAGGAGTAGAAACAAAAAGAAAAGATGCAGAAATTTTACTGTTTAAATATTAGGTATAGATATGTATGGAAGGAAGCTTTGCTTATTATAAAAAATAATCACAGATATACGTGACTAATTTGTTTGACTCAATGTGTGTGGATCTGACTTAGCATTTCATTCGGGGTTCAATTTTTTGGCTAAATTTCACCAAAATTTCTTGAATTTCGGCACTTTCGGTGGCGACCAAAAGAAGATGTGAAATTTCGTTTTACACTAACAATGTATAGTCATAAATCGTTCTTATATTTTGTTTAGATCTAAAAATTTTATAAATAAACATACTTTATGTTTAAGTCTCTAAAAAATTACCAATTTTTTTATAAAAATTCATGAAATTCGATAATTTCAGTGGTTGCCGAAATATTTCTAAAACCAAAATTGGAAACCCTGATTTTATTAATTAGTGACTTAAATATGAAGGGTGTGAAAAAACGTTACAAAAAATGACAAAAACGCACCTTATTAGCAATGATTAGGTGCATCATCGTCAATGATCTAACACAATATGGAAATTAGATCTGATATTTTTCCTTCACGTACACACGTACTCGCAGGCAGACACGCCACAAACGCAAACCCGCGCGAGGCTGCTAGATCACGATCACCTACTCGATCGGTCGCACGCGGTGGGGGATCCCGACGCCGCCGAGGAGCCTGCGTCGCGAGGTGCTCCTCCACATCCCCGTCTCCGATCATCCATGGCGGCCAGCAAAGCGAATAGAAGCTGAAAGCGAAATATACGCCGGCCCCATATATACATACGGACTCGCGATATGATTAAGCTGGGGCGGCGGAGCGATTAAGTTTGGCGTCCGACGATGACAATAGGTATTGTCCAATTGAAAAAAGAAACACCCAAAAAAACGTGGCAGTTTTCCAGGTGACGCTCGGCATATTAATCGGAAACGGAAAAGGAGTTGTGGGCGGCTATAAATCTGGAGCTCCTTCCTCCATCGCCTCACCTGATCGCCTCCAACAATTCCCACGAGATCAAATCTGTGCTCCTTTTCTCCATCGCCTTCACCCTGATCGCCCAAAAATTTCCACGAAAGATGCCACCGGCTTGCCGTGCTCGAGGAGGGACCCATCGTGCGGCGCCCTACCACCGCAAAGGCTGGCTGCCGTGGTGCTCCGGCGGCGACCTGCATGGCTGCGACGACAATGGCACGAACCTTATCTCCATCCCAGACGACGCTCTCTCACCCGTCCTGGTCAGGCTCCCCAGCGCGGCCGACGTGGTCCGCGCCGCCGCCACCTGCCGGCGCTGGGCCCGCGTCGTGGCCAAGGACGCCGCCGTGCTCTCAGGCGCCCTGCCTCTGCCGTCGTCCCTGCCCGGCCTCACCCTAGGCTGCTTCTACCAGGGGAGCAGGCGGCGGCCGGTCTTCTCCGACGCCGCGCAGACGACGCAGCCTTGCTTCGTCCCGACGGCCGCTGCGGCGAGGCTGACCGGCCTGCGGTGCCCGTCCTGGACCTCGCTAGCCGATGCCGTGATGGGCGGCGATCGCGGCCGCGAGCTGCTGGAGCACGCCCGGCCCGTCGCGGCCCGCAACGGCTGGCTCGTGCTGGAGCTCCAGCAGGAACGGTACGGGGTGACGCTGTGCGTGCAACCCCATGAGGGGGCACATGGCGGCCTTGCTCCCGCCTCTTGCCGACGCAGACAACCCGGGGGACTACGCGTGCGCGCTCTACACCGGCCACGACCAAGACCCGCCACGGCCATTGTCGCATTTCTTCCGGCTGGTCATAGTCTACAACCGTTCCAGCTTCACGGCGATGCGGTCCTACTCGTCGGACACCCAGCGCTGGAGCACGGAGGTTAGAAGGTCGGGCCCAAAGATGGCAAGCCATGAACCGCGCGAGCTTGGCCAAAGCATCGTGATCCGCGGCGTGGCCTATTGGCATCTGAGACACACGGCGTTCGCTGTGCGGCTTGACACTCCGGAGCCTGCCGAGGTGCCTATGCCACAGACCGGCTTACGGAACTTACGCCCGGGCTTGGGAGCACTCGGCTTGGATGGCCATGGCAAGCTTATATTCATCGATGTTGGACATGTTACACATCATCCATCTCGTTCAGAACACCACCTTGCCGTGAGGACAAGCAAAGTCTTTTGTCCCGGCACCGGCACCCGGGATGAGGATGACGATGATGGTGGCCACGGCAAGTGGGAGTGGACGAATAAAGTCGGAATCAAAATGCCATGCATCAGAATGAAACAGCTCAAGTTACCGTTTCTTGGCAAGGTTAAATTTCGGTGGTTTTGCGAGAAGAGCGGCAATCTTATCTTTACCCTCGGCCAAGGCACCAGTAGTCCAGGAGCATTTGTACTCAATATGACCACAGAGCATGTCGAGAAGGTGGCCGATGGTGTCGACTGTGATTCGTGGAAGTACTTGGTCGGGTACGAAATGGATGGGGCTGCATACCTCGCATCCATTTCACGCCGCCCACTAGATGCCATTCAGCTTGGCAGGTAACCGGAAATCAAACCCGGTTTCCGGAAATCAAATTCGGTTTCTAGGATTTACTCATGGCTGTTGCTGCTAAGCCATCATATTTATTATTGTACGTTATATCTGAAAAAAACGGAACGGTACATTGTACATTATTTATATATTTGGAAGTTTCACCGGTATGACGACCTGAATTTTGTTTCTAAGTTTTGGTGTCGTCGAATCCATAAACATGGGAGTTTCAAAGTAACAGTACGGTATGACTTATCATTTGAGGTCTTCGGACATTGCAATTTGAGCTGTTTGATATATCTATGTATCCAATCCAACTAGATGATAACCCGTGCGTTGCTGCGGGAATTTTGTTGCATTGACTTGAAAAGGATTGTTGATTGAGTGAGATATAGTAAAAGTATGAAAGAAAACATATTATTTTATTAGAGCCTTCTATGATTAAACATTTGTTGTGAGTTTGTCAGTGTATTTCATTCACCTAATGATGTTTGTTGTCAGGTGTGTTGAAGTATAGAAAACTGCAGTTGTAGAATGTTGCCAAAATGGTTAAATAGCATTCTGCAGGTAATCATTTAAATGATATCTGAATTTATGTTTTTTGTATGTAAAAAGGATGGGACACTGAAGTAGAAGAAAAGAAAAAAAGACATGAGACTCAATCTGAACTGTTTTTGTTGCTTGACCATAGTGTCAAATTCTAAATCATATCTTTTGAGGCACATTCTTGATCGATATTAGGCAGAGAGAAACTTAATTCACTGCCACCGAACTGGTGAATTGCATGTATCATTTTTACTGCAATATAAAACATAGTTGTGCTTGTGAAAGGTAAATTAATTAAGTCTGCACTGGAGAAGGAATTAACACAATCTGCAATATGAGACATTCATACCCTTGCTCAAACAATGTATAGTGCATGCCCCTTCGAAATATATGTAGCGTAGATGCGCCACCCGGCCATATCCGCCGCATGCACGTACCGGCTTTAGTATATTTTTTATCCTCCCTATATGATGCACTGCCCCAGAATTCCTGCAGTACGTCGTTGTTCTTCTGTTTACTCCACAGGCCACAGCTCCTGGAGTTCGCCGGCGTTCTTCAATGCAGACGGATGGATTGGCAAGAAGTATTATTGGCGCTGTGTTTTTACTTTGATCTTCATTGGCCTATTTTTGATCGATGCCGTGCAGACATGCAGCTGTTCATGGATGGAGCGGCAGGAAAACATCTCTGCAGCCAATTTTTCCTCGCGTGCGCCTGATCGAGGGGAGGCCGATGACAGCTCTGCAGGCTGCAGTACGCCTGTGTTCTTCTGTTTACTCCAATTTTTTGTGCATCTTCCAATGGGGAGGCCGCGAAAGTGGACACATGCACTACAAAAATCCTGTTGATACATGATGGATTTAATCCGTCACAAATAGCCACAAATCCGTTACGGATGGCTATCCATTCCGTCATGTATCGAGCGTCATGGATTGGCGGCGAGCCATCCGTGATGGGTTCAGGATTTTTTCGTCCGTCACGGATGAACTGGAGGTCCACTTAAGCCGTTCTGGGCCGGCCCGAGCCCAGTAGGTTGTGACGGATTGTTTCCATCACGGATTAGGGTCTTCGCAGAGATGGAAGCTGACGTGTCGTTTGCGCCACGTAGGACTAAGCCCAGGTGACTTTTGGCCCAATTTTGAATTCCTTAAGCTTTCGGCCCATTACTAGCCCAACTATTTTTTTTGGTTTGGGCCCGTTTAATGCTTTTTGGCCTTTTTTTTTTGCCTTTTAGTGGTTCAACAGCCCAGTTCAAGTTGGGCTGCTTCTGGATTTCTGCCAAGTTTAAACTGGGCTGCTTCTAAATTTCAGCCCAGTTTAAACTGGCTGCTTTCTTGAATTCAGCCCAGCTGAAATTGGGCCGATACTAGATTTATCAAAATACATCAGATAATTCATAATCATCATTAACTCAAACCGGTTCTCACCATCATTAACTAACACCAGAAAAATAGTATAGATCACCAAATTACAAGTGTTATCACATCTCATACATCATAATTAAGCATGTCCATAAGCACAGCACACGACCAAGGCATTGTGCCACTCAAGCATCAAAGTTTCATAACGACAAAAGGAGCTACTAAGTAGCTCAACAGTAGCAAGAGCAGAAATGTCACTTTGCCCACTACGGACGGCACCATAGCACCAGCAACAACAGAAATGATGCAACAAAAAAGCAACAATGTTGCCACGAGACCTAGACCATCTTACCCAGTTGGCTACGTGTGTCCAATCTGACTCAAGAGAAGGTCAAGTTTTGCATTAGTCTCAGCTTGCTGCCTTGCCATCTCCTGTTGTTCCGCCACCCTTGCTTGCTCAGATTCTTGTAGCTTCTTTGCCAACTCTTCCATTTGAGATGTGGGCTCATCCTTTGCCAACTTCTCTGCAGCCAGTTGCTCTTTAAGTGTGCCTTTCTTTTTGCTCTGAATCCCCACATTCTGCAGAAATGTGGGTTTCTTGGTCTTCTCAGCAAGGACAGCCACAACTACCTCGGTCGCGGAAGGGGCCTCTTCATCTTCTGCATGTCCAGACAGCTTTTTTCCATTTCATCCTAGTATAGTGCAAGTAAAAACATGGTTCATTAGATATAACAACGAATATTAAGGCTGAGTTTTTTTGAAAAAATAACTTACAATAGCAAGCTGGACATCTGGTGTGAAGCCTTTCTTTTTACTGCAGTGGAACTCCTTGTACATATCCATTGCATCAGCTTCCTGTTCTTTGTACTTGTCTCCATGTATGATGGTCACTATTAACTAATTTGTATGCAACAGTTGATTCAATGTGAAAAAAACAAGCAACTTGCATGAGCATATCCAAGTAAATAACATGTATTACGGTAAATATCATATAGAAGCAAAGTGACATCACATGTGCTCATCAATAACAAGTAATACAGAAAAGATTCATTAGAAGCAAAGCGCCATCACATTATCTAGGCATAGTTACACTTCCCATTAGTCCCAATTTGTATCCTACATTTTAGCCTTTCTGTTGCAACTTACATGTGCTTCTGGAATCTTTATTACAAACCATGTAGCATAATAACTGTCAAAACATATGTGCAAGATGTAGTAACTTACCAGATTTTCCAAATGCACCATGTAGCTACGTGAGCCAGTAGTCTGGTGGTACTTAACCTTGCTTCGGTTGGTTTTGTTAAGTTCAGAGTTCTCCTACACCGTGAACAACATCCATGTTAAACATGCATCTCAGTTAGCATATAGGAGGCAAACTTGTAGCAGAAAACATACCATTTTTTCAGATGGCCATGATTTGACAAGTTCACTCCACTGTGTATCAGTCATACTTTTGAGAGAAGTTTTCCTCACCAAATAGAGCTGGTAAGGATTGAAGTACATCTTCAGATGATAGCGGTGTTGGCGAACTGCTTTCTTCATCATTTGAACACAAGCAAATCTAACATCAGCATCATCTATGTTGATATCAAACTTTTTCTGTTCAAATCAAAGAACAAAAGAGTATTAGCAAGGGAGCAGCTCTAGCAAAGAATTTTTTGTATTAGGCTAATAGTTTGTGCTAATAGGGTAGGTGTCCTCTTAGGCATTGTACATGGTGTTTCTAAAACAATTAAATAAGCTTGCTACAAAATTTGGACAGAAAACTATTAGTAATGTTGCAGCTATTGTTATCTTCATAGATAACTATTTAAATCAAATAACATAAGTAAACAGTGAATCTGAATCACACATCCTAATCTGAATCTAAATGTCTATAAATTAACAGATCAGTAGGCATTAAAGCTGCAATTACATTGGATAGGGACTTACAGCTATTTTCATCCTAAACATTTTATGGATCGCAGTCTGATGCTTGTAGTCCTTCCATTTGGGGAACACAGGCACATGGTTTCTCACTGTGATGTTGTATTCAGTTGCAAACTTTGCAGCAACAGCAGCCTGTAGCGGCCTTATGTCCCCTTTTCTGATGACCACCGGCAGTTTCCCACGACGAAATCGGGACATCCTTTGCAGTGCTGCTCCTTTATTATTCCCCCTGATCCATGGTACCTCTTGTGGGTCTACATGTACAAATAATTATAGCTAGTGAGATGAACAGAAACAATAAGGCTAAGAGGTTAAAGTTGTAATAACATGCCTTCACACTCTATGTCCATTTCAGCTTCATCATCAACCTGATCATTACCATCATCTTCGCTAGCCATCATGTTGTCCCCATGAGTTTGTGCTAAACCATCACCATCACCTCCACTGGCCACCTGATTGTCACCATGGGTTTGGGCTAAACCATCACCATCACCTCCACTGGCCACCTGATTGTCCCCATGACCCTGGGCTATACCATCCCCATCACCTCCACTGCCCACCGTATTGCCCCTATGACCCTGGTCTATACCATCCCATCCACCTCCACTGCCCACCTGATTGCCCCCATGACCCTGGGCTATACCATCACCTTTGCTAGACACATGGATGTTTTGTTCCTCCAAGCCATCACCTAGAAACAGTGATATAGTTAGAATGTGCTACCATTTAACATGAACAAGTATACAAATGGTAAGTAACAATTTGTAGTTGGCATGAAAACTTGCCTGCATGAAGCGGATGAGTGTGCCTGTCAGCACTAGGGACTTGACACTTTGTCAAACTTTTTCTTCCCCTTGTAAGTACAGCACTCACTGGTGGAACTGCAAGCGCTGTCTTTTTACGCGTCCTGACGCCACCAGGAGCCATGCATGCTTGTCTTTTGTTTCTAACACATGCTTCCTAAACAAAAATGCAAACATAGATCAATCAATAAGGCTTGGATTCTATTATATTGCCTTAGCAAACAAGTCACATGACAAGCATCACAAAATTGAATGAGTTAGCACCTTAGCATTGTTAGCGGCACACAAATCTTCATCAATGGTTTCATCAAGCTCAGGAAGGTAGTCAGGATCACAAACTCCGTCCTTTCTATGTTCAGGTGTAGCATCTTTTTGCGGGATCACTTTTTATTTCCAAGTGCTTTTACTAATGCAGGAATTCCAAGCTCCTGCATCCTTGCACTGTTTTGCATGCATTTTCTTAGCTGCAGAAGCTTATATGGATGCATTTGTCTTTCTAAAAAAATGGAAATTGAATTGTTAGCTGTGCGAAATAAAGCACCACATGCACAAAACAAATAGAACAAGGAATTATATCACAGCCGCCCTCTCCTACATGATGAGCAATGAGGATTTTTCTTCTATTCAAATGAAACCAGGAGGAATGGATTAATAGGGCCGGCTCTACGATTTGAAGGGCCCTTGGGCAAGTAAGAAGATAAGGGCACCCATCTACGATTCTACAAACTGTTCTCGTTTTTTTTCTTTTCTGATTGAGCACCCGACAAATACTTCCTAGCACAAAAACCAAAGTACACATCCTCCCAATCTAAAGTCTCGTGTCAGCATTCACCACACAGAAAGGGATTGAAGACCTAGGACAAATCCTATCAATCTTGGCACCCATCACAACGATCTAATAAGAGGCAAGTGCTGGGAAGAAGAACCCAAATACCTAGTGATTCGCGCTTCTTGCCTTCCTTCGGTCCACTGCCCGGCGCCATCACTTTCTGTGGTCGGCTTTGCTGCGGGACATACTGCTCGTCGACGATGTGCAGCACCGTCAAGGCGGTGGGCGACGGTGGTGGACGGCGAGGTGGACGATGTCGGTCGGATGGCAGCAGCAGGTGAGGCGGACGAAGGGGGCGGAGGAAATGCCTAGGGTTTGGATGGATTTGGTGGGGGAAGCGGATGGTGGCAGGGAGGTGGAGGACGGTCGACAAAGGGGAGACGACGACAGCGGTCGCATGGCGGCAGTAGTAGGGTGGACGACGGCAGCGGCTAGGGTTTCGATGGATTTGGGGGATGGCGGCAGTGGCTAGGTTTTAGATGGATTTAGGGGAAAGTGGAGTGCGGCGCCTGGAGGGGAGGGGAGGGTTTGGTGGGGTCTTGGCAAGGAAATTACTATCTAGCCGTTAGGTGGTACACTATCTGGGCCAGCAAGCGAGGGTATAAGTGTCTTTTGCTGCCACAAAAACCTGTTGGACGCGCGCCACCATGCGAAACTAGCGAAATTTTGCGCGCCTTCGATCGAATTGGAATTAGGCTGGCCTCATTTTCAGGCCTAGCTAAGGATCTAAATTTTTCTTTTTTCTGTTACTATCATAAATACATTTTGTTTGAAAATATAAATCATAATAAATATGCTGTTTATGAAAAAATCGTCAACACCAAAGTTGTATGACTCATCGAGATCTACACCTCTTGTATTGGTCCTTTCTCCATAGGAGTTCGTTTGATGAATTGAAATTTGTATTCCACAATATGAGAACATTCAAAAATAATTTTGGGACAAGTAGAAATGTCAAATAAAAAATTCATCAACAGGAGAGTTGTAGAACTCATTGATATCTACAACTATTATTTTGATCATTACTCCATGTGACAAAGTTTGAACACTTCAAATTATGAATTTAAAGAAATTACATATTCAAGCAAGATTTTGTAACACTAAATGATCTCAGCTGAAAAAGTCATGAATACCAAAATTGCATAACTCATCAAGATCTACAATTCTTATTTAGGTCATTTTTTCATCCGAGAAAGTGGTAATATACATTGTTCACGAATACTACAATCACCCACATAGTTTAAGAAACTATATGAAAGACTAGTCAAAATGGTACCACATGTTATTATCACTTTTGCAAATGACAAAATGGCCTAAATAAAAGATTTAGATGTTGATGAGTTATTCAACATTGGTATTCATGACTTTTTCATTTGACACCATTTAGTGTTAAAAAAATCTTGTCTTTAGTTGTCATTTCTTCAAATTCAAAATAAGAATTGTTCAAACTCTGTCACATGAGATATTTTGAAAATAAACATAAGGACCTGATAGAGAAAGATTTTAGGAAAATTTAGAAAAAAAAATCATCTAATTTGAAGTTCATATGGGGGAGAAAGACTAGTTTCAAGTTTTATGCAGAGATTAAAAAGAAAAAATGTGTTTGTTCATATGAGTTGGAAGGACTTCTATATATAAGAACTTTGAACGGAATTTTGGGGGAGTAAACGATTCCAAATCAAAAAGTTGTAAACAACAAAGTTGTAGAACTCACTGAGACCTACAATTTTTGTCTTGGTCATTTCTTCATCCGAATTTGTTTGGGATTTTTTAAATTTAAATTTCATTTTTGACAAATTAGATTAAAATTTAACAAAGAAGTCAACACACATCGAGATTTGAATGATGTAAATTTCAAATTTGTATAAGTTAATTGTGATTATTTTCCTCCCTATGGCCCACATGTCATTGACTACAAGAAGACCACACATTCCCTCAGTTCATGGGATATATAAACAGAGAGTGAATATATGAACAACAAGTTTCATACCAACACTAGACATATATTCATACCAATAATAGAGACTTGCATAATATTAGAGATATGCATAATATGAAGACAGATGTTGTTCAACCACCATCATTACACATCATTACACATACCATATTTAGGGTCCATAAACACATCACTACACATCATAAGTTAGTGTCCATAATACATCACCACATCATTACTGACATATAAGTTGGTGTCCATAACACATCAGCACCACAAGCTGCATGCCCACTTGGGCTGCCAAAGTCATCCCTGCCTTAGCTACATATCACCAAAAGTCCATGTTGCCATCCAGTTTATATGACATCATCACTTGGGCTTCTTGAATAGGCCGGCGTTCTCCAAGTTCTTCTAAAATTTGTCCAGCTTGGATTTCATGGCCTCTAGGTCCGCACCAAACGCGCCCAACTTGTTCTTGTAGGCCTCATTCTTGACTTCTACAGTGAGTTCGTCAATCTTCCAAGTCAGAGAAGTCATCTTCTGCATCAGGGGTCTAGTCACCGCACTGTCGATGGCGCTCAGTTCGAGAGATCACCAACTTCTGAACGTGGTACTACATATGAACAGCATGAATTGTTATTAGTAGTGTGAGAAAGCAACAAGAAATATTAGCAATGTACAATATCAGAGCAGTGAGGTCCTCTACATAAGGTATGATATCAAGATCAAAGCTATGAGCTGTCACTCTAGCTTTTAATTTAAGCAATCCTATAATGACTCAACAGAAATTTGTAGTGACTACTGACATAATGGCTTGATTCTAGTCAAGATAACTTGTAAGCAATTTAGTAAGTCAACATAATGGCATAAATCATCAATTTATTGATTTCAAGTTAAATCTCTGAATATTGGTTCATCTCATGGCATAATACAACCTACAAATAACAATAATCCAGTGAAATCATCTAGATTCACCTACTGAAATCAACTATAAATTAATAATCTAGTCAGATCATCAATGAATCTTGTAACCATGAACCGTACTGATGCTTAATCCAGTGCAATCATTTAGAGTCATATAAGCACACACATATAATTCTATGGCTTTGACAGGTACCTAAACCCTAATTTTTCAGAGGAGATACCTCGGCTTCGGTGGAGCTGGACGGTTGTAACACCCATGGTGTTACTGTAACTAAAACATGCCATGTCATCATGATCATTGCAAATCATACATGTTAAGTCAATCTTGATATGCATCAACTAAAACAAGTTTACAATTCTAGGTTGATTGGTGTTTTTGAGCTAAGTGTGAGTTGAATCCGAAAAACCCTAATTTCGAATCTCATTTCAAATACCTGATTTATGCCCTATGTAACCTGAGGTGTAAACTATGTTTACACTAGTGTCAGGCATAGTAAATAAATCAAGTACCAAACCCTAAAACTTAACTTCATGTTTGGGCTTGGATTCGAATTCAGAAACTTGTTCGGAGTTTCCCAATTCGAATTCGAATTCAAACGTGAAGGCGATTAAAATGAATTTCATAATTAATTTTGATTCACCAAATGTGCCATTAAGTTAATCATGTTGGATTATGCTTAAAGATGCATTTGGATGATAGTGTGATCATTAATTAATCACAAATTAATCAAATAGCAAATTCAATTATAAAAGGCTTATATATAAACTAGGTTTTATATATAGATTTACCCCTTTTTGAATAATTCAAAATCTAAGCAAAATTTTGAGACGAGCCCAAAAGCAAAGTTGTAGCTCTTGTTGAGAGGTACAACTTTGGTGTTTTGAGTTTTCAAAGTTTCAATGTAAAATTTTGAATAAATTTGAAAAGATTCAAACTCCAAATTTGATTTTGAAACCAAATTCAAAAACTAAGCATAATTGGGAGATGGCACAATTATGAAAGTTGTAGATCTTCAAAATTTATGAATTTTCTATTTTTACATATTTTCAAGTTGTATTCAAAATTTAAAAGTAATTTTGAATTTTCCAAAACCCTAAATGTGACCTTTTCTGAAATTGAATTCAAATTTCAAAATCTACTCAGAATTTGAAGTTGGTCCAAAAATAAAAGTTGTAGAGCTTGATTTATTGAAGAACTTATATTTTGGAAAATTTTCAAGTTTAGATGTAAAATTTTAAGTAATTTTGGAAAAGGACAGAAAAGGGGGAGGGGGTAGTTGGCTACAGTAGCCGGCCAATGGAAACCGGCCATGGACGCCGTGGCCGCCGACGGCCGTGGAAGGCACGCGGCGTCGCCGTGGCGGCCGTGCACTGGCCCGGGGTTCGGCCGACGTCTTTACAACGCGCCCACGTCGCTTTCTCGACGATTCCCGCCCACTCTCACTCCCTCTCGCACTCACAGCGCACACGCACGCCACGCCGCCGGAGTCCGCGTCGCCGCCGTCGTACGCCGCCCGTGCTGCCTCTCCGGCCGATTCCTCACGGACGTAGCTCCGCAACCTCCTTCACCACGCATTGGTCCTCTCCCGCGACCTACTAGACCCGAGGTGAGCCCTCTGGGCCGTTTCCTTTGGCACTGTGCAGACGCCACCATGGACGCCGCCCCGCCGAGCTTGCCGCCGGCCGCGTCGTTCATAGTCCTTCCTTTTTAGCTAGTGTATTAGACGTTCTAGGACGTCCTTGTGTTTCTTTGAAGATGAAACGGTCTGTCTCGCCGTAGCTAGCCGGGAACGCGCGTCGCGCCGCCGTCGTGCTCGCCACGTCCGCGTCGCCGCCGCGGCGTGCCCGGGGTCGAGGCCCTTCCGCCGTGTGATTCGAGCCGTAGTGATCGTCAGGGGCTTAGACTGGAGTCCCTAGAGCTCTCCGTAGCTTCAATTTGGGTTAGCCTCGCCGGAGTAGCCCGGCCGGACCGCCGCCGTCGCCGCCGCACGCCATGGCCGGCGTCGGGCGTACCTCTGTGCCCCGACCGTCGCATTAGCTAGGTCGATGGTTTCGCGTCGTCGAGTAGGCCACTATGGAAGAAACGCCGCCGCCAGAAACCTCGCCGCCGGCGAGCTAGGGCCGGTCAAAATCCGGCCACCGCCGGTCAACACGGGAGGGAGGATTTTGTTTTTCTTTTTCTTTTTCAGAAAATGTTAAATAGTGCTTTTTCTTTAGAAAATCATAGAAAAATATTTATAGCTCCAAAAAATATGAAATTTTTTTAGTATGCTCTCTGAGTTAATATTTACATA